CCTGTAATTTCTAAGGATATAACCTGTAGAAACCTGGGATTTCTAGGATCTTACACATGTTTCAAATGAACACCTAGAAATCCAGAAATATTACAGGCTCCCTAGATTATTTGAACCTTTTGGTAGCCATTGGTGAGATTAATCTAAATCAAGCTCTCTGGAATGTGTTTAGGAACAGCTTTTGGCAAGACCAGAATAGTTCCCAGCTATTCTTCAGAATGTCAGGGCCATCTGCTTGTCTTGCCAACTTAGGCATGTTTTGAGTTTAACAGGCAATTTACATGGCTTCCAGGCAAGATAGCAACAGTGCATGGCTCCAGGGGACGCCATTCGTACCTTATACCAGTAAGTTGTCAGTCAGATAGAAATAAAGTGAACAACACCTCATGGAGTTGTACACTAGCCAGTATGTTTAGCAGAGCGCTCTGTGAGGAGGTTTCATGCCAACAACACTTCCGCTGATTGCTGCAATGAATGTTGGTTGATAATAGTAGTGGGAAAATCTATTTAGTTTCAGTCTCCAGCTGGACCACATATTTTGGAAGTGATCACATCTCCTTTTTTTTTTTTAATTCTTTTCTAGCACCTGGAGAAAGAGGAATATGAGAGATATGAGCAGGGATTTTAATATTTGTCCCTAGAATTTCTGGACATTTCAATTTTAATATTTGTTTTCTTTCACCCAACTTAAAATAGCCTCTCAGAATGAGTGCCTGAGAACATCTTGTAAAATGACCTGAGCAGAGCTGATGGAATGTATTTTGTGCATATTTTCACTGTATAGAGGGTTGTTTATGCAGTACAGTGAAAAAGCGGTTGCTAATTCTGGCCATAATGTGGTGTCCTTGGGATAAGGTTACAGCCCACAATTGTAAATGCGCTTTGAATTTCCAGGGCTGGCCAAGACCTGGTGAGTTGTTGATTTATAGATTCTGCCAGAGACTATCGCTTTTTTCTGTAGCAATAAACATCCCACTTTGTAGCTGAGCATACATTTCCCAGAATTCACAATAACTTTTTCGGTTTCTTTTATGTCAGTTGCAGACATATGTTCACCCCTATAGAGTTGAATGTAAGTGGGAGTCTCCAACGACAACTTTGAGAAGCAGTCCTAACAGTCAGATAGCTGTGCAGCTTTGCCCATTTCTTTTTTGTCCCTTCCTCCATCTTGCTGCCTGAAACATAGATGCATGGCTGGAATTTCCCCATTGTACTGGCCTGTGATGACCACGGCCATATTATAGACTAGAGAGAGGGAAGAAGCTAGTACCCCTGGGGCCCTCAAGGAGGACGCTGTGGATGCCACTCCAAATCAACTTGCAGTAGTCACTTACGTGAGAGAAATCAACTCAGGTCATCAGCAAACCAGTGTTACTGCAGGTCTTTAGTTATTCACAGTTGTCCTGAATCAGAGCTAATGCAGGTAGGGTCTACCAATCAGAGGGGTTTTTTTTCCTTGTGCTATACATAGGTAATTCCGATGCAATGTCAAGAATCTAGTCTTATGAAATAGAATTTCTTGTTTAAGGAAAAAGTTAGGGGTCAAGTAGATTTCCTTCAACTTGATGTTGAATTGCTCAGATATTTTTATATCATATTGCCATTAAAAATTGTGCTAGGCAGTTCATAGATGCCCACTATGAACTCAAGAATAAGTGTTCACATTAACATTTAGTAGGAAATAGTCTCAGAGGCCTGCTTGAACCTCAGATTGACTGCTGCATAATTACTGATAAAAACACTTACACTGAAAGTATGTACTATCAGAGAAGGGCTCAATAATGACACAATGGAAAAGGAGAATAATTCAAGAAGCATTACCTCCCAGCAAGGACCAATAGGGAAGTACCAAACCTAGAGTGCACAAACCTGCTCGCTAGTTGAGAGATCGCTAAACCCAAGGAGGTGTGAAAGATGATTCTATAGTTGCAAACAAAAAAGTGATATAACTACTGTTACCACTTATTTTCAGCTAAAAAATAAGAAACTAATCTTGATCGATACTTTGTGTGCTGAAGCGCTGTTGTCCTCAAACTTGCGCCTCAGCAGCCTGCGTATTAGGAATGAGCTGTCCTGAGAGAAGGGAGCAAGTTCCAAAGTACAAACAAGTTGATGGTGGGCTTCTTCCTGTTTTACCTGCTGTCCGTGTTTTGAAAAGTAGTGAAAATTGCATGTGCTGGGGTGAGTGAATATTCACACTTAATTCTTTAACTTAAGTCTCGCAAATGCTTGAAATAAAGCACAACTGACGATAAATAATGCAGACTGCAGTGAATCATAAGAAAGTGGCCGAGTTGAGAGCCCTTTGGGATGTTATTGGCTGTGTTAAAAGGTAGAATGATTTATTCAAGCCTGGCAAGAAATTGTCCAAAAAATTTTGACATTATCCAGACTATTAGAGATATTGACCTATATATCTGCCATTCCTGATGAGTTTTGCCCTAAATATGTATTGTCTTATGATATTTGCTAATAATATGACACTATTAGCAAATGTTTTAATATATTTCTTATTTCATCATATCTCATAACTTCTAAATTTATTTTTATTATATGTATTCTGTACATCAGTATGAGAGTAAAAGCATATTATTTGTAAATTGACAATCGTCCTATATAGATAACCACTAAAAATTTATATGGTGTGCTGCCCAGATCTCCTTTCAGCAATGGAAGATTTTTTTCTCCCAGGTACTTCCTCAAAGGACTGCCAGAAGTGGGGCTCCTTTGGCGATTTCCTTACTCAAAGTCACACTTTCTTCCAAGGTTTGCTGGCATTCAGTGACAAATCCCCTTGCCCCAGCTCTGAAGAGCTGACATGAGTCTAAAGCTCCCAGTGACACTATTTGGGCTGAGGCCTTCACTGGTGCCACATTCTGCCTCAGTTTCTCCCTCTGTTCATTCCTTCTTCCATTTTCTTTCATAGGCGTTGATGAGAAGAGCACTCCCTAAAAACACTAATGTCCTTTCAGAATCTGATTTCCAGGGAACCCAGCCCACAACGCTACAGGTGCATGATGTAAAATGTTGGGAAACTACTGGGCATAGTGGCACATGCCTGTAATGCCACGTACTAGGGAAGCTGAGCCGAGAGGATCACAAATTTGAGACCAGTCTGGGGAACTTAGTGAGACTTTGTCTCAAAGTAAAATTTTAGCCAGGCATGGTGGTGCATGCCTGTTATCCTAGCACTTGGAAGGCTGAGGCAGGAGGATTGCTGAGTTTGAGGCCAGCCTGGGCTACATAGTGAGTTTAAAGCCAGCCTGAACTACATAGCGAGACCCTGCCTCAAAATTTTTTTTATAAGAAAGGCTGGGGCTGTAACTTAGTGGTGGAACTCTTGCCTAACATCCATGAAGACCTGGGTTCACCAGGATAGCAAAAGCAATTCTAGGTAACAGGGACATGGCAGGGGGTATTACAACCCCCAATTTGAAACTATACTACAAAGCTACTGTGATAAAAACAGCATGGTACTGGCAAAGAAACAGACCTGAGGACCAGTGGAACAGATTAGAAGATGCAGAAACAACGCCAGACACACTCAGCCACTTCATCTTCGACAAAGGAGCCAAACACCCTCACTGGAGGAATGATAGCCTCTTTACTAAATGGTGCTGGAAAAATTGAGTTTCAACTTGCCAAAGACTAAAACTAGACCTATATCTCTCACCATGCACTAAACTAAAATCAAAATGGATTAAAGATCTAAATATTAAATCAGAAACACTGAACCGGCTGGAACAGAAGTTAGGTAGAACTCTTGAAGACATTGGTGTAGGAAAAGATTTTTATGAACAAAACCTCAGCTCCCTGTGAACTAGCACAAGCAATCAACAAGTGGGATCTCTTCTTATTAAAAGGCTTCTGCACAGCAAGAGAAACCACCAACAGAATGAAGAGACAACCCACAATGTGGGAAAAAATCTTCACCTGCTGTTCCTCAGACAAAGGTCTACTATCTCAAACCTATTAAAGAACTTAAAAAGATCAGACCTCCCAAATTTAAAGATCCAATCTGAAAATGGGCATCTGAAATGAATAGACATTTTTCAGACAAAAAAGTAGAAATAGCAAATAAACATATGAAAAAATATTCAACATCACTGGTCATTCAAGAGATACAAATGAAAACAACACTGAGATTCTACCTCATCCCAGAAAGAATGGCTGCTATCATGAAATCAACCAATAACAAATGCTGGCAGGGCTGTGGGGAAAGAGGAACACTGCCCCAATGCTGGTGGGAGTGTAGACTGGTGCAACCACTGTGGAAATCAGTATGGAGTATCTCAAAGAACTTAAGACTAGAAGTTCCATTTAACCCAGCTATTCCCCTGCTGGATATCTTCCCCAAAGAGTTAAAAGAATCATACCACTGTGATATATGTGCACCCGTGTTCATAGCAGCACAGTTTGTAGTAGCTAAAACTTGAAAGCAACCCAATTGCCCATCAACTAGAGACTGAATAAAGAAAATGTGGTTTTTTAAAATAAAATGGAGTACTACTTGGCCATAAAAAATGAGAAATTAGAGACATAGCTAAATGGATGCACATTGAGGTGATACTCTTAAGTGAAATAAATAGGACACACGTGTAAATATCAAATAGTTTCTCTAGTGTGAGAAACTGAAAGTGTAAATAAGGAATAAAAGGTATAATAGATAATGTGAAATAGGAAGAAAAGGGGCAAAGGGGAAGGGAAAGTGAGAGGGGTAGGGGGAAGAAAGAAGGGAATGGAATTAATATGAGAAAATGAAAAAATGGAAACAAAATCTTTGTAAACAGGGAGGGATGGAGGGGTTGAAGGGAGGGCAGGGAAAGGGGGAAAAATAAGAAGAAGAAAAAAGACCTAGGTTCGATCCCTTAATACTAAAAAAAAAGAAAGAAGAAAAAAAAAGTTGGGAAACTATCAGCCCATGAGCCCTCAACTCCTTTGGTATTTGTTTAATATATTTCTTTTGGTTTCATGTGCCATCATTGACTTTTATCCCATAGGTGCTGGAAAAGAATGTGCATTCTTTACTTGATGTATGTGAGATACTATTTCTAATCAAGTGGGTAAGTACGTTAGTCGAGTTTCCTGTATACTCCTGTGGATGCTTTACCTATAGTCCTGCCCATGTCTGGTGATCAGGATCAGTCACACATGCCAGGGTGGTGACTCCCTGGGCACAAAGATCCATAAGTGACTGAGTGCATCCACAGCTTAGGGGATACTTATTGTGTCCCTTGGGCAGTGTTTCCTGTCCAAGAACCAGGGCTTCTAGATCTTAGCAAGTCAGTGGCTTGTATAGAAGCAAAATTCCCCAAGTGGGCCACTGGCAAAGGTGACAAGAAGGACCACCTCTACTTCCACTCTTTGGTCTCTATAACCCTATATTCTACCTAGGGAACATGATGCCCTATCATGGTTATTTATCAAACTGCATTCCGGAGGATGCTGCCCCAGCCTCATGGGGCATTGCCATAAAACTGACGCCTTAGCAGTATCTCCAAAAACATATTCCATTGCTCTATTAGGAAGGCCAGTGGCTTCTGGGCGGCATAGTATGTGATTAGACTAAGCAATCCTGTGACCATACGCCCACCTCTGTGCCTCTTTTGTCCTAAAGTTTGTCCTTTGGTCTCTGTCAGTTAAAAGGGCTGAAAACCAAGACCAGACCAGGCCACTGTAAGACTGAAGGGCTTACCAAACGCTCCGAGGAGCTGACTGCAGCAAAGAACACATGGGAAGGAACACACTGGACAAGTTGGAAAGTAAAACAGACCTTAGTCTGGCCAGACAGCACTCCCAAAGCAAAGTACTTAGAGAGGAGACCAGCCCAGAGTCCAAGGCTCTTTTTATAGGGAGTTGCAGGGCAAGTTAACAGGTGAAATTTACAGAAGAGGAACAAAGGTTAGTGGTCAGCTGACACGTACTGATGGTCAGCAGATGTTTGTAGATTGTTCTATAGATGGCAGTGTCCGGAACATCAGTTTCAAACAAAGAGTTGAGTAATTTACTTTGGGACCTTATGGCTGATACAGATCTTATCTAGTGTCCCTAACTAACAAGCATCTTTATCTATTTACTCACATTCAATCACAGTTGGGGCTAGGGGAGTTTTATGACTACAGAGTTATGCAGTCCCACACCACAACAAGCCTTTATTAGGGGAATAGATCTGCCAGGCTGTCTCTGAACAAAGGAGAGACAAAAGCAACATGGCCGGGGCAGGGAGAGTCTTTTATAGAGACTGGAGTGGGGCTTGTAGGGGCTGAGGTGGGGTTGAGTGAGGTAGTGACTAGGGAGCGGAGGAGCCAGTGACATCACTAGGTGGTAGGAGGTGAGCGAGTATTAGGTTACTCTCTAGGTGGGACCAGGGGCATGCTAGGAAGAAGGGTTTGTTCTTTGGTGGGAGCAACCATCTTGGCGTGATGTCACCCAGGGGAGGGAGCAAGGCACAATAGGAAGAGGGCAGCTACTATACATAATAGCTGCTGAGGTGGTGGGAGACCTATCAGTCTCGTGCAATATTATGTGAGTCCTGCATCCCTGGCTCAGGTTCCAAGTGTTTGGAAATGGTGCCGAAACTGTGCAGTCAGGAAAGGAGAGCCTATATCTGGAATATATGTCAGTTCCAGTCAAAATGGATCGTGGATCCTCCCGGATAGAAGCGCTCTGATATAACTGCCTTACCACCGAGCATAGAGTCCCGGCATGCGGAATGCAGCCTTGGTCTCTGGCCAGCAGTCTATTCAGCAATGAGATCATCCCTGGTGAGGAGGAGTCCGTTCTGCTCAGTTCATGCATAACTCCATCCACTCTTGTTATTCACCACTCATGCCAGCACTACAGGAGGCCCAGCACTGACCAGATGGTGACTACTCTGTACTTGGTTGTTTATTTATCTTCTGTAGTAGGCATTCTCTGGAGGTCATTGGCCAGTGATACATAGTTGTTCAAACTTCTTGCTCACTCCTGTTGGCCCATCCCTCAATTTTCCATTTTTGCTGTCCCTTGCCTTCCACTATTTCTATTTTCAGGCCCTGTTTGAAAACAGTTGGAGGTGTTGGCTGCCACCCATCTAGTCTTACCTCAAGCCAAGTTGCTAATCCAAGTACTGTCTTCTTCTACTCTCTGCCATGGAAATCCTAGCATTTCTACTTCACTAAATGTGTGCCTTGATTTTCTCTAAGCTTGCAAGAGTCAGCCCAGCATTGTCTTAGCAATGTCTCCTGGAATGGCAAGGCACTGAATCCTGCATCAGATAAGCACTTGCATGTTTACAGACTCTATCAACGGAAGTTTTTGACCTGGGCCCCTCAGTGCATTGTATACACCCCCAGTTTCTGCAGATAAGTGTTGGCGACTTCCTACAGTTCTGAAGACAAACGCCCTTTTCTCCCTTAGTAGTCTCAGCACTTCCCTGGATAGATTATTTGGGAGTTTACCTCTGATTATCATTCAGATGGCCAGGAGGGATGTTAGGGCTGTTTTCTGAGGTGGGAATGTATTGTTGTGCAAGCCAGAAGCCTCTGAATTGCCCTGAGCAAGGTGGGGAGCAGAAGTGTTGAGCAGGGCTGTCCAGGCCACCTCTGCAGGCCCAAACCATTCAGGGGGACCTCAGAGTTTCAGATTTCCAAATTCATTGACCCAAATGTCCCCATCCTAATTTTTCCCCACCAAGACCCTAAGCTACACATATAAAGATGCCATGAGAATTCAACCTTCTCTAGAATCCCACCTCTGCTATAATTAAGTCCTGAGTCTGACCACTCTTTGTTTCCCCTGTGACTACAAGAAATGACTCCTTCATATGCTGCCAGGGAAGTTCTCTGATGTTCACAGTGCATCTTACATTGTGAAGGTAATTAATCACCTTCACACCTTTTATTATATTTCTCTAGTACAAAAATAGCCCCCAGCAACAGCCATCTGATTTCATTTAATTACAACTTCCTATAAACCTCTCAAATGCCTGAGATATTACCCTCATTATCCTCTACCAATATCCCATCCCAACTTCTCCACCAGTAAAGCTTTTGCAGTTATAGCATGCCAGGGACTATGAATACTCCACTTTCCACCAATGGTGACATCCTTATTGGTGACTGGCTGCCTGGTGATGCGGTTCCAAAATCTCATTTTAGAGTTTGCATCCTAGAACCACTTCTGATAGCAAATGTCATAGACCAGTTTCCCCAGGAAAGAGACTCTGAGGTAGAGACATCCATGTGGGAAGACCACTGGTGCATGCTCTGCTGGCGAATGCTCTTGAGAACGACACCTGTAAAGGAGAGAAGAAATCAGGGTTGAACAGAAGGAGTTGAACTGTGCTTCGGTGGGCCCATGGAGAGGTCTGAGGCTCACCGGGCCTTCAGGAGCATCTTTAATTGAGGCAAAGGGGTTGACCTACTTTGGGACATGAGTTGCCCCTAAGGAGGGAGGCATAGCCTTGGAGGGAGTTAAGTCTGCTTACCTTCTCCCAGGTACTTCCAACAGCTGGGAGAGCCAGTGCCTTGGTACTGAAGGAAGAACTTTGGTTGCTTCTGCCTTCGAATCCGGTACTGTTGTCACCATGCTTGTATTTTCTCTTTTTTGTCATCCACTACAAGAAACTTGAAAGTCCTTGACATCCCTAACCATCTGGGCTCTCATCTCTGTATGGTACCTAGTCTTTTCTCCCTCGATTCTCCAGTTTTATCCCTTGAGTCTTCTAGAGTTCACGGTTTATATCAGCAACATAGATTCTAGTCTCAAAATGTCCCTGAGCATTCCTTCATCTTGGCAGAAACTCTTAGAATATTCGAGGGAGTCTCCAATGAATGCTTTCATGAGTCAGCTGCTGAATAAACTGAGAAGTAAAACAAAAATGAACTATGGAGGCTAAAACATCTCATGTTACTGAGAGTTCAGGTTGGAGGTGTTTTAGATATATTTACTCCCACCAATTTAGTAACATTGCATCAGAGAGCTAGATAGACATCTCCACGTGGTCACAACAGCACTGAACCACACATACAGTCACATGTTTTCCAGAGCTTTCAGTTCAGTTGAGCTATAGCTTGCATCTCCGAAGTTCCCCAAGACCCATTTGTTGAAGGCTTGGTTCCCATCTTGGCACCACTGGGAGGTGGTAGAATGTTTAAGAGGTAGGGCTCAGTGGGAGGACTTAGACCATTAGAAGCATGTGCTTGAAGGGAATGCTGGGACCGAACCCACCCACCAACTTCTTGTCCAAGCCATGAGGTGCGTGGCTTTGCTCTGGCATGGACCTTCCACCATGATGTCCTACCTCACCACAGGCCCAAAAGCAACGGGGCCAACTGACGATGGACTGAAAAGCTCAAAATTGTTGAAACTTTCAAAATTTAGTAAGTTGATTATCACAGGTATTTGTTCTAGAGACAAAAAATTGATAACGAAAGTAATTTTTTGGGCGGGGGATACCGGGGATCAAACTCGGGTCCTTGTGCTTGCACAGCAGGCGGCAAAACCACTGAGCTAAATCCCCGGCCCAACAAAAATAATTTTAAATAATTCCTTATTTCATGGACTTTCCCTGTCTCCTTGGCACTGCATTTTGTGAGAGCATGATTTCTGTCTCACATACGACATATTTTTTATTTGCTTATTCTCTATCCCCTCTCCCCAAGATTAAGTCCTCATAGGCAGGCATTTAGGGCGTTTTACTTCCTGTTATGTGTGGAACCCAGACATAGGCTGTGCTCAACACAGTGTACCCCCACTCTTAGATTAACCACTCTATGTCCCACCCTATGTTCCCCATCCTGGGGACCAGCGCAGGCCATCTTAGGAGCACTACAGAAAGGGGGTAGAAAGACTGCCCATCCATTGTCTGTCTCAAAACTGTCACAGCTTAGCATAAGATAATATAGAAGTTAAGCTTCCATTAGTGTTTTTTTTGCCCCAGTCTGGGGATTGAACTCAGGACCTTGCTCTTGCCAGGCAGGCATGGTGCCACTGAGCTACCTACCAGCCCTAAGTTTCCACTAGTAACCTAACTTTTGACTTATCCATCTACCTGTAACTACAGACACCATGGTCCAATAATTTACTATTTTTGCCTTACATAAAAAATATTACCAACAAAAAGAAAAACCAAATTACCTTTTTTGTACAATCAAGGAATCCGCTTTCTTGAGACAATAACATTGCACAAAAATACAATCCAAGAATATTTGTTATTAAAATACATAAAACTTTGAGAACTGAACTTTTGCAGAAAGTCTAATTTTTGCTACACTTTTGAATTTTTAATTACCCAGGTGGTTCTCAGGAACATCTCATGATGTAGGCTCTGTGAGGGAAAATGGGACAAACCTAAGGAAGCACTAT